CGACAGTCTGCAGAACCACATTCCCACCCTACCTCTAGGTCTTTAACTCACACCATCCTGCAGCTGCCGGAGGAGAGAGAAGTACCCGCCAAGAAAAGTAAAGAGGCCCAGAACAGCATCAGGTCCATAGCGCCTCTTGATGCCTCGATCCAGGCCTGAGAGGAAGAACTGGCAGCAGTCACACAATGCCCGCAGCGGGGGTGATGGTGCCTCCACACTGTTGTTCAGGAGAGCTGATGCCTTAATCAGAAGCTTGGCCAGTGCCTGAGGTCCTCCCTCCCCAATCTGTAGCAGTTCAACTCCAAGCCGGCATAACTGGAGGCTGGGGGCCAGATCGGTGTTCCTTAGGTAATCACGGGCCTTCTCCACTACCTTGGTGGCCTTGGCATGGTGGCAGCTCCAGCAGAGGCGACGGCAGTGTTCCAGGGTGAGTTCCAAGAGACAGAGGGCCCTCTGGGGAGAAAGAGGACCAGGAGAACCCACTCCCTCGCCCACCAAGGCTTTGATCACATGCCTGGAGAGCAGGTCATCTAGGAAATCAGCATCTGCTTCATTCAGACTGTGCCCGGTGGCATCAAATAGCTGATGGGCACCTACCACTCGACAGGCTGTTGGAGAAGCAAAGTGGGGAACCTCACAAGGGGTACTTTCATCCTCCAAGAGCACTAGAAAGCTCAAGGCCTTCAGCCGAGCCGAGAGTGCAGCTCGCCGCTCCTGCAGGGCTTCTGCTACCTTCCAAAGCAGAGAAAAGCTGCCGCGAGCCACAGCCTCATAGTCCTGGGGAGCAGCTTGGCGGGAGCACTGCACCAAACAGGCATGGAGGGGCTGAGCGAACCGGAGTGTGGCCTCTGGGATTCCCTGTGTGGCAATATTCCGGAGAAAGATGAAGAGAATTCGTTCCAGGTAAAGGGGTGAGCGCTGGGGGGTGAATACCAAGTAGCCATTGCAAGCCAGCTCTGCCAGTTCTAGCAGGCTCCCCAGGTGTCTAGGGCAAGCCAGCTTGGCCATCAGCTGCTGGTTGCAAGCCCTCAAGATGGCATCACAAGCTTGTCTCCTCTCAGCATCAGATCGGCAGCTGGGTGAACCAGCTGGAAGCTTGGACAGGAACTCCTAAGAGGAGAGGAAGATGTGATTGGGATTACCAAGGTAGGGAAAGAGAACTAGAAATAGGGTTGCTCAGGAGAGGATCTCCAATTAAACTGTCTCTTAAATAAGACAAAAACAAAACAGCTCATCCTGAGAAGTCAGGTCTATCCAGAACTAGACAGCACCCCTACCTTCAAGTCAGGCAGCAATTCTTCAGCCTCCTTCGGGTTGCTTAGTAAGGTCCCAAAGTTGATTCCTTTGAAGTTCCTCATGGCGTTGGAGGGCTGGAGAAAAGGAGAAGAATTAGAGAAGGTGAAGAAGAATCGAAAGGGAGCTAAATGGAGGCCAGGAGAAGGGCTTGAAGGCTGCGGAAGAAGGGAGCCAAAGAATCCCATCAGAAATCCTATCGGGAGCGGCGCCTGGCTGCTCAGTTGGTGGAACACATGATTCTTTATCTCGGGGGTCGTGACTTCGAGTCCCACCGTGGGTGTAGAGGTTACTTAAAAAAAAAAAAGAAGAAAGATAGAAATCCTATCGGGGTAAAAAAACACCATGCCAGGACAGTGGGCTCCGGTTATAAACCGACGCTTCCGCTTTTCCTTCCTCCGGGTTAATGCCAGGTCTCACTACCCATCCCACCACCCCAAAGCCCCACACCGGAGGCCTCCACCGAGTTCCGCGCCCACCAAGACGTCCTGAGGTCTCCCAACCTTTCCTCGTAGAGTCGCCCCCCCCTCCCTCAAATCAGCGCCGGGGACCCCACCTTACCTTGGCACGTACACACGCTCACGAGTCCCTCCAGGACTTATTGCCCCAGAGGTCACCTCCTTCCCAAATCCAGGACTTACTCGCCCAAGAGAGCACTCCGCAAGAAGCCAAGACGCAACCTTCGTTTTCCGCGCCAGCCCCCCCTTTCAAATATCCCCAGTGACCAATCAGGAGAGAGCTCTGTAACGCCGGCGTGCCGCGCGGCGCTGTGGGAGTTGTAGTTTATCCGCTGCGCTGCACCGTCACGTGATGCCGGGAGCGGTGTCGTGCTGCTGTGGGCGTTAAGGCCTCTTGGGGGCGCGGGTTTCCCCACTTTTTGTGGTCAAGGCAGAGATCCTCACCTATCCGTCACTTAGTAGCTATCGGGAGGGCCAGACCTCTGCCCTCTTTTCTTTTATCTTCAGATCTCAGAAAGTTTAAATTTCAAGAGGAGAGAAGTAGGCTAGACAACAAAAAGAACTTACTTGGAAATGCACGCGGTTTGGGTTACTGGGAAAAGAGGGCGTAGCCTTTCCTGGAATTCTTTAAAAATATAATTTTCTGAGGGCACTGACAGGAGTACCATGGCAACTTCCAAGCCTTGCTCTTTAAATCAACTCCATCAACTGGATTGTATGAGGAAGACAGAGGATCTAGCGTAGAGGGGAGGGTTAAGGGAAGAACCGGGAAAACTCATTCACTGGGATATTTCACAGTCTTTAATGGCTTACGTTTGTAAGTACTAACTTCTTCCCCAAACGTGCAAATTCGGTTGGCTCTGTTTCTCTTTCCTTCCTCTGCCAAAGAATTCAGTTCAAAACTCTGGTCTTCCAGTTCACTTTTTCCTGAGGAATTCTATTGGATAGCTCATCCTTATCTATCACCGTCTTTCTTTCTTTCTTTAAAATTTTATTTAAGTAATCTCTACTTTACTGGTACTATTTATTTATAAATAGGAGTTCTAATTAAGTAATAACATGAAATGAAATCCAGCATATGAGCTGGGCAAGAGTTTTTAATTTTATTAATACTCAAAACCAAGTTTGCGTTTTTTTTTCTTTCGAATGTGCTTTGCTTTCTTGATTAAAAAAAAAAAAATTTTTTTTAAAACTGACCCTAATAAAGAGAACAGGGTAATATGTGAGGCTAAGTATGTCCCAGTACGTGCGAGTGTGTGACTATGTTTGTACGTGAGTGTCCTCATGCGATTATGTCCTTTTTATGTTGCTAAGGGGTGGGGTGAGAATTAAGTACTCGTTTCGTATATTTGTGTGCCAATTAATGCCTAATAAATACCATGTGCTTAAAAAGTAAAAAACAAAAACAAAGACGTGGTGCTTGAGCTCAGGACACCAATATCAAGAGTGGCATGCTCTTCTGACTGAGCCAGCCGGGCACCCCAATCATAGTCTTTCTTCATCATCATCAACCTCTTTTAGGAGCACAGAATCTAGCAGAGAAGACTATTTTAAAAAAACAAAAACAAGAACAAGAACATCACCAAAGAATCTCGGTGTTGGAATGATAATACTAATATCGGTGCAAAATATATGTTATAGACATTACATACATATCTCTTGTAGCATAAGGGACCCAACAGAGGTCTTCTTAAATGATCAATGAATACATCAATTTTCACACTACTCATTTCCTCTTGCTTACACCTTAGCAATAAGTGCTCATTTATTTACATGTTGTGTAGCGAGTGTTCTGGGACTTTTTCCTATGTATTACATCTACTTGATTCTAAACTTAAGGGCAGAGAATTTATCCTTTTTTATTCATCTTCTACTTCTTACAAGAAGTAGGAAGTTCCTTAAGTATTAAGAGATTAATAAATGCTGACCAGTATGAACCTGAGTCACAAAATTCAATCCCTCACCTGAAGTTCAAGCTTATAAAGAGACAGCACAGGATAGTGGAAAGAACTTTGAATTTGAGCCTGAACAGAGGAGTTGGATTCTAGTCCCAGTTCCATGTATTATTTATCTGTGAAATGGGGATAGTAATATCAAGCCTCACTACTTCCCAGGGGTTCTGCCAGCCTCAAATAGACTAGCCTTGAAAAGCTTTCCAAAGGCTCTAACAATGCTTTGCAGCCATTAAAAAGCATGTCTTCTATGTATTGACATGTAAAGATGTCAGAGATACATGAATGACTGTATAGTCTTCCTGAGGATTTCAGCTGTTTTAAAGAGAAAAAAATGAGATAGAGATATACTGTTATGTAAAAAAGTTGCAGAAGAGCACTATTCAACACTTTGATTCAATTTTTTTTAAAAAGGTTGGTTTAGAGAGAGAGTGCGCACATGGTGGGGAGGGGCCAGGGAGAGGTAGAGTCTTGAGCAGAGGCAGCACTGAGAGTGGAGCCCAACACAGGACTTGATATCACGACCCTGAGATCACGACCTGAGCTGAAACCAAGAGTTAGACACTTGACTGACTGCACCACCCAGGTGCCCCTGATTCAATTTTTATTTGAAAACAAAAACAAAACAACCAACTGGGCACCTGGCTGGCTCAGTAGGTATAGCATGGGACTCTTGATCTTGGGGTCATGAGTTTGAGCCCCACATTGGACGTAAAGTCTACTTAAAACAAAACTAACAAAACAAAAAAAACCCTAATATTAAGTGTGTGGATTAGACTCCAAACATTTAATAGTGGGAGCCTGTATGAGGAGTGAGATTAAGGGAGCCTGTCATTTTTTTACATTTTATATATAAATCATATACATTGTTTATATTAAACATATATTTCTGTATTTGCATTTGATCATTTTACAGTGAGTTCATATAACTTTACTGTAAAAAAACTTTAAAGCAAATGAGAAGTATTTTTTTTTAAAGATTTTATTTTATTTATTTATTTGACAGAGACACAGCGAGAGAGGGAACACAAGCAGGGGGAGGTGGGAGAGGGAGAAGCAGGCTTCCTGCCGAGCAGGGAGCCCGATGCGGGGCTCGATCCCAGGACCCTGAGATCATGACCTGAGCCGAAGGCAGTCGCTTAACCAACTGAGCCACCCAGGCGCCCCGAGAAGTATTTTTTTTATAAGATTTAATTTTTATTTATTTGACAGAGGGAGGCAGAGCACAAGTAGGGGGAGTGGCAGAGGGAGAGGGAGAAGCCGACTCCCTGCTGAGCAGGGAGCCCGACATGGACTTGATTCCAGGACCCCAGGATCATGAGCTGAGCCGAAGGCAGATGCTTAACCGACTGAGCCACCTAGGCACCCCACAAAGTATTTTTGTAACATTAGATCTAATCCCAAGCATGACAAATTTTTGTTTGTTTTATAATTCTATTCTGTGGTTCTGTGAGGAAGTGGTGGCAAAATATAATAAAAGGGAAAGAGAGAACCACAGGGTTGGGATTAGGGGAACAGTGATGGGGAATAGAACCTAGACCTAGCCAAGGGGCCATGGCCCTTAGCTGGGAAAAGCCCCTCCTCTTCCTGAGCAGGGACTGCATTTCCAGGAAGAGACAGTCCTCCAGGCCTCAGAACCCAGTGCTGTCCTCATGACCCAATCCTCCTGCCCTCTCATCTATTGGATTCTGGTTCCTTGGGATGTTTCTGCTCTCCTCCGGATCACTTAGAAGTTCCAAATCAAATAATCATGTGTCCAGCTGGATGGGAAGTCAGAAAATCAGGAGCCTCTTAGTGAAAGATGGTGGTGTGTATCAAGTCTGACACCAAGCTGACCTTCCCACTTGAAGAGGAAATGAGTTCAAGTGGAACATACTGACACCCTACTCAGCTGCTCATATACCCCAGAGTAGAAGGCCTCTCAAATAGCTTGATACTTCTATCTGGGCCAGGACCAAAGATAAACACTTCTGGGAATCACCCAGCCACTGGGATGTGTTGTAAAGTTCTATACCCCATCATAGCTCCATCCATTCATTCTCATACCCAGATCTGGTTAGGCTCAGCTGGATTGAAAAAATTTTTAAATAAAATATAAAAGCAAACACTTATGTGGTGCTTACACTGTGGGCCAAGTGCTATTCTAAGCACTTAAATACAATAATGCTTTTAATCCTCCGAAGAGCCCTATGGGGGCAGAGACTATATTATCATCCCTGTTTTACAGATGAGGAAACTAAGGCACACATTCGAACCCAGGTAGCTGGGCTCCGGTTCCATGCTCTTAACCAGTTGCCTATACGGCCTCTCAGCAGAGCATCATAAGCAGTATTTTGCAGGCAGTGTGCGCCTGGAGAATCAATCCCTCCTTTGACTCCTATGGGCAGATACCGAAAAGTGGACCAGATGGCTGAGGCCAAACACTCCCACAGTCTCTTGCCCTTCTCCCAGGACCAGGCTTGGGATGAGGGAGCAAGGCTAGAGGGGGAAAAGGCAGATCAGCAAAGACCCAGGGGACACAGGCAGTACCTGTCATAGAAGGGGCACTAGGCAGGCAGCAAGAAGCACAGTTTAGCTTTGGCTTTGCCATTCACCTGCTACATGCTCTTTGTAAAAGAAATTTACCAGCACCTAGTAATACACTGCATGGCATACAGTGGATGCCTAATAAAAATATATTTAAGGCTGAATGGACAATGTCTAAGATGCCTTGGAGCTCTTAATGCCCTGTGCATCTGAGGAGACAGAGCCCTCCCCACTCTATCCAGCCCCTTTGGAGAAAGCTCAGCAGGGACAAAACTAAAGGAGCCTCATTAGTCTGTCTCTTCTTCCTATTTCCTTATCACTTAGGAATGTGGGGCCCCCTCATGCTTCCATTAGTAAATAATTACTGTCGTCCCAAACAACAAATCACTGACTAGGCTCTGGACTCCAGTCTAATAGACTTCCCAAATGGGCAGCACTTGAAAAGCCAGGTGTGAGCTAGCCTGTCTCCTCTCCAGATATTTACTGAGCACGGCCACAGGCGGAGTACCCACTGTGTGTATATATGGAGGAGACAAAGGCAAAATAAGACACAACTTGCTCCTGTCCTCAAGGAAACCACACTATGGTAGAGAGAGACGGAAAGTCTACAAATAACTATAAAGTATATCTAGGTCCAGCTCAACGGGGCAGAAAGAGGAAGAGGAATTTTGCAAGAGACTCTCTCTTAGCCTCAAGATGGGGGAAGGAAAAGGTATGTTTTTCGGTACTTAACCTCAACCTCTATACCCCGAGGTCTGGGTGGGGGACCTTTTATTTTTCTTCACTGAATAGGGACCTGAGACCCCCATCCATCCCTCCCCCTCAGTTTCCCCCTGCAGAAGCGCATCCACACTACATTCCTGCAGCACCAGCTGATGTTATCTCTCCACACAGGTTGGAACTTGCAGGTCCTGGTACACCTTGCATCTTCCTGTCTGCAAAGTAGACTGGGACCCAGGGAAATAGTGTCAATCCCTTTCCAAAATGGGTGGATCCCCCATCTCCAGCTCAAGCAAATTCCAGGACATACCCCTGAGCCTACCCTCCCTTCATTCCCCCCCCCCCTTTTCTTAAGGCTGGCTCTGCTTCCCCTGAGAAGCCCGGGTTTTGGTGGGAGGAGGAAAGGGAGATAAAATCAGGTGAGGCAGGGAGGGGCCCACCGAACTGGTGTTCCCACTGGTAGTTTCCTGCCCTGATGGCTTCCTCACCCTCACTGAGGCTGGGTGGGGAAGAGTCAGGTACAGACAAGGTGTCCCAGTCCCTCAGCCATTCGCTGTTTTCTCCTCCTGGCAGCCCTTCACTTAGGTTTCGTGCGAGGATACGGGACACAGGACCGGGTGGACCCAGGTGGTGCTGGACAAATGGAGCATTCTGCCACAGGGGCAGAAGGCAGGTAGCATGCATGTGCTGAGCTGCAAGCTTGTTTCTGCAGGAAGGTCCCAGATTTGCCCCACAGGGTGGTCACAGAAGCAACTCGAGCCCATGGAATCTCTGTTCAGTGGCGTGGGCATCCACCCCACATGCTCCAGAGACTCTTTCACCCTGGATGTGGAGCAAGGGTCTTGCTGGGCAACTAGAGAGGGTACCTGTCCCCGGGGTGACAAGATACAGAAGACCTAGGGGCCTCAGGCATTTCCCACCCATTTCTGCTAAGAGGCAATGCTACAGCTCTCAGTTTAAGCTGGAGACAGTCTTCGAGAGGCTAGAAATACAAATGGCTTCTGCTGGTGAGCCTACCTCTATCCTCAAACTCTCCAGGTGCCCACTCATCAGAAACTACTGAGGTGGGTGCAAGTGAGGATGAGCTAATCACATCAACGATCGATTAGAAGTGTTTATTTTTAAATGGAAAGGGGAGAGGGAGTAAGACAGAGGCAACATTTGGCATCTTCTTTCCCGGCCATCACCCCCATGTGATCTCCAACCCAAAGCATTGGCAGGAGGGGCCCCAGGACAGGCTGAGGGGCCAGACAGTTGCAAAGTCAGTCATGGGGAGATCTGTACAACCCTGGAGAGGTGGGATTCAAGAGTCCTTCCCAGCCCCTTTGTCCTGGAACAGGGTTAGAGCTCAGGGGCATAGGGCTCCCCCGTGGGTGAGGGCACCCGCAGCTCAGCATTGTGCCTGACCACGGTGAAGAGCCCCACCACCGCTAGCAAAGCCAACACCATGACACCAGAGCAGATGCTGAACATGTTCCGAGTGCCCGTTTTGTGATCACTGTCATGGAGAACTAGGAGCCCCAGGCAGGCCAGTAAGTGCAGGGGCACCCGGAACCAGTTGAGTACACCAGCTTGCTCTGTCTCAGGGATCACCTTTCTCCGCAGGAAGCTCATGCTGGGAAAGTATAGCCCACAGGCCAATTCGATAAGTAGAAAGGCTATGAAGGACTCCACTGGACTCTCCTGGCCTGGGCTGGTGGAGAAAGTCAACATGAAAAGGGAGAAGACAACGATGAGGACAGCAAGGGAGAGTAGGTGCATGGGCTGGAGGTGGTACCTCTTGGAGGTCGCGATGCGGTACAGGGAAGAGCCAAGCAGGCTGGCGGCCATGAAACTGGAGAAGACAATGCCCAGCGGAGCCCCATGTGGGTCCAGCACAGGCGTCCAGAGGAAGACAAAGATGAAGATGACGCTCTCAAACAGGGCTTGTATGGTGCCTAGCAGCAGCACGCGGCGGTCCGACAGGAGGCAGCGCAGGCCTCCAGCACAAGTCCTTGAAAAGGCACGCTGCCGATCATAGTTCTCTCCCCAGTTATGAAGGGCCAAGGCCCCAGCCAGAGCCAAGAGAGGGATGGCGGCCACAAAGGGTGCTACAGGCCCCAGCCCCATCCAGCAGGCCACAGCTTCAGCTGCCACACCTGCCACTACAGCCAGCACATGGTTCCAGAAGGCAGCTCGGGCAAAGGTAGCTGGGATCCACTCAGCAGGGAAGTCATGACGCTCCACGTGTTCATGGATGTACCAGGCCTCGAAGGCCGAGAACAGCAGGGCCGTGGACAGCCCACCGAGTGCTCGGCCCACCAGCAGCACAAAGTAATCCCAAGAGAGTTTGGTTAAGCAGCATAGAGAGTAAGTGAGGGAGAAGAGGACACAAGACTTCTTGCGACCCAGCCAATCCACAAGGGAGGAGGCCACCAATCCAAAAAGGACTGTGGAGGCGAGGCCACAGACATAGAGGATGGCAATCTGACCCTCCAGGAAGTGGTAATGCTGATAGAGTTTATAGAGGTAGGGGGCCTGGAGCCAGTCAGCTGCCAGGGCCAGGAAGTAGACCTGATAGAAGTCCAGTTGAAACCGAACAAAGGAGGGGTTGCTGCAGGCCCTTCCAGGGGGCTTAGCCCGGCATCTTGACAGTTCCAACCCCAGGCAGGAGGCCAGGAGGACCACAAAAACAAGATAGGCAGTCACCAGCATGGCGGGCCCCCGGACGACCTAGGGAAGGAAGGGGGGTTCGGAATCACATCCATTGCCCAGGTAGCACTGTCAAGGGGCTGGGTGTCTAAGCAGAAGACAGCTCCACCCAACACCCGCCCCCCCCTCCCCGCCAACTGCATTTCCCCACCCCTCAACTCCACTCCCCTAGAGCTCAGACTGGAGTGACCAGTTGGGTGGGTGGGTGGAGTGGCCCGCCAGAGCAGGTCTCCTAGGATACTGTGGGGCAGGGAGGGGTAAGAGGAGAGGGGGAAGACTGAGCATTCGCCCCACCCTTGCCCGGCATAGCAAAGAGAGAGTCCCTTTAATACAATAATCCCAGCCCCACAAGTTAAGGGGGTGCTGTCCTCTTTCACTACAGCTTGTATATACTTGTATTACCTCCCATTCTCTCTGGGGAGCTCGTTTTTGCCCTCAAAGTCTTTCCATCTGTCGAGGGCATCCCTCCCGCCCGCGCGGGCCTCCGGAGTTGCTTCAGGGTCACGCCCGTGCATCTCGGATTCCCGCTCCTCCAGGTCATAGGCACCCCCCCTGCGCCCCCTAGCCCCAGCCCAGCGCCCTAGCGCCGCCACACCTGCTCGCACCTCGCCCAGACCCCGTCTCACCTGCTGCCCCGGTCTGCGGGGACGCCCCGGACACGTCCGGCTCCAGGCCGCCCGGCCGCCCTGCCCGCTCTACCTCCGCCTTGGGCTCGGGTTTGGGTTCCAGCAGCGCGCCCGCCCCTCACAGCCTGCTTCCGGGAGCCGGGTAGGCCTCTGGCCGCCGCCATGATGGCTCCATCACGTGACGGGGTGAGGCGTTCAAGCCCCGCCCCTGCTCCGCCTCCCTGTCCCCACACTGGCGCCCAACTTCCGAAGCCCGCGCGGTAAAGAGTAGAGGCGGTAAGGGCTGGGGCTCTCGCTCTGGCCCCCTCCGCTGCCTTCCCGTGACACCCGCTCCTTCGAATCCCGGGTACCTGCGGGGCCGCCCCGAAATAAAGACCCATTTTCTCTTTCTGCCTCCGTAACATGGAGAATGCCTGCAGTCCCGCAGACTCGTGGGCTGGAGCATCCGAAGGAACACCGCTGCCCTAAGCCGAGCCGGCTCTCGGTTTTCCTGCTCTCTCACCTTTGTGACCTCCGGGCCCGACGTCAGTATGGCCCCGACACCTGAGGGAGGCAGTGTGGTGTTAAGGACTTGGACTCCCGCATGAAGCCGGGCTAAGGCTCAAATCCCACCCCTGTCACTTACCACTGCGTGGCCTTGGGCAAGCCACATTACTTCTTAGTGTCTCAGTTCCTTTGTTTGCAGTCAAAGGAGAGCAGTGCCCAAGTAAAAAAGGCTAAAGTTCAGCCCTGTTGCTGAATGCCCGCCTTCTGCCACTTAACCAGCTGTGTTACCTTGGAAAGGTTATTTTCTTATACTCCAGCCTTCGTGTATCTCCGATGGCTTCCCACCTCACTAAGCCTAAAAGCCAAAATCTTTATAATGACCTATAAAACCCTCTATCCCCTGTTCCTCCACTACTTCTCTGACTTCATCTACAATTCTCCCTCCAAACTTTCTACTCCATCTATATTGGCTACCTCCTGGGCCTTTGCATACTGTGCCCTGAAAGGTTTTGGTTTTTCTCCCAAATACCTACATGGTTCCCTCCAGCCCCTCCAGCCGCTCCAGTTCTCTGTTCAAATGTCACCTTCTCAGAGAGGCCTTCCTGGGCCATCCTGTTTAAAACAGCATCACCACCACCTCCGCTAGTAGTCTACCTGCTGTCCTTCCAGCCTCTTCCCCTTCGCTGCATTTTCTCCATAGCACTTAACACCATCTGGCACACTATATATTTTACTTATGTACTATCTCTTCTCCCTACAGATTTTTATCTATTTGTTCACTTGTATTCCCAGTACTTAAAAGTTATTGGGGGGGCACCAAGCTGGCTTAGTCAGAAGAGCATGTGACTCTTGATCAGGGGTGTGTGGGGGGATTCTAGCCCCATGATGGGTGTAGAGATTAATAAAAAAAGGAAAAAGTTTAAAAAAAGCAGTTATCGGTAAGTAAAAAGCAGTCAGTAAATATTTGATGAATAAATGAATAAGTTAATTCAGATAAATAAGCCTAAAAAGTGCTGGCCCATATTAGTTGGTAACACTCATCAAACAGTTATCTATAATGCATCTAAACTCTGTTTTAAGAATTCCTGGGCCATCTGCTATATATGAATTATGTCGTGTCACAACAACCCATAAGGTAGGTACTATTATTATCCTTGGTAGTTGGAAAGCTTAGATAATATGCCCAGAATCTCTTGGTAAGAGGCAGAATTAGAACTGGGACCCAGGGGCGCCTGGGTGGCTCAGTCAGTTAAGCGTCTGCCTTTGGCTCAGGTCATGATCCCAGGGCCCTGCTCAGCGGGGAGCCTGCTTCTCTTTCTCCCTCTGCCTACTTGTGCTATTTCTCTGTCAGATAAATAAAATCTTTTAAAAAATGTTAAAAAAAATGTTAAAAAAAAAAAAAGAACTGGGACCCAGATCTTTCCAGTTCTACACTCATGTGGTTTCTGAGAAGATGAAATGAGTTCACTCATTCGCACAGGTGATTAGTAAATAAATGTTGGTTTCCTTTATACTAAGGCTTGGAGGGCAGAGGGTGGGAGAGTCTGGGATTACACCTTGAGAAATCCCTTTTTTTTTTTTTTAAAGTATGCTCCAACACGGGGCTTGAACTCATGACCCTGAGATCAAGACCTGAGCTGAGATCAAGAGTCCGATGCTTAACAGACTGAGCCACTTAGGCACCCCGAGAAATACTTTCTTATGATAAAGTAAACAGCTAAGATTTATATCCTACAAGTTCCAGAGTGCCTTTATACCTAACTGGCAAAGCCCTACAGAGTAGTGGCTCCCATGTATTCATCTAGAAACACAAAGACTCAAAAAAACCAAGATTTCCCCAAGGTCGTTCAGTGAGTGAACCAAATACTCTCCATCCCAGTCCTGGACTGAAGCTCCTTGAACTCATGACCCCTGTTTCTTTTGGGGGTGGAGGTCATCCTGAATGAAGGCAGGAGTGGGACAGGATGGCCTTACATTCGGGCCTTCTGTTTTCCGGGAGGGAGGCCAGTTTTCTTCCATTGTTGAGCTACATTTTGCTCAAAAGCACCTGGCAGAGAGAGACTTACAGCGATATCACATTACTTTGGATTATTTTTTGCTTATTGTGTGACCTATTAAAAATATGTTTAGTCTTTTTTTTTTAAGTATATTTGATAAGTTTAAAGTTACCATTTTTTTTTTGCCTTTTAATTTTTTATTGTTATGTTAATCACCATATATTACATCATTTGTTTTGGTGTAGTGTTCCATGATTCATTGTTTGTGCATAACTCCCAGTGCTCCATGCAGAATGTGCCCTCTTTAATACCCACCACCAGGCTAACCCATCCCCCTACCCTCCTCCCCTCTAGAAACCTCAGTTTGTTTTTCAGAGTCCATCATCTCTCCTGGTTCGTCTCCCCCTCTGACTTACTCCCCTTCATTCTTCCTCTCCTGCTATCTTCTTCTTTTTCTTTTTTCTTAAAATATGTTGCGTTAAAAATATGTTTAGTCTTGGGACACCTGGGTGGCTCAGTCGGTTAGGCGGCTGCCTTCGGCCCGGGTCACGATCCCAGGGTCCTGGGATTGAGTCCCGCATCGGGCTCCTTGCTCGGCAGGGAGCCTGCTTCTCCCTCTCTCTCCCTCTGCTTGTGTTCTCTCTGTCAAATAAATAAAATCTTAAAAAAAAAAATAAATAAATAAAAGACCTGACCTCCTGACTTCTTTAAAAAAAAAAAAATATGTTTAGTCTTAAGGCTCCCCTGTCCCTTCAGAACTGAGAAGCACAGCTAGGAAAGGTCCTAAAATGGGAAATGTGCCAGCAGAGGGCTAGAGGGGATAAAAGGCAGCCTGTGAGCACAGCCCATCTCTAGGACATGCTTCTAGTAAAGGGCAAGGAGGGCTGAGGTCTATGTATTGCGGAGTCACAGGGGAAGTCCTGGTTTTCAGGGAAGGTGGGAGGATGCCCTGGGAATAACTAGGAACCTTGCTCACCAGAGGAGCATCGTTTAAAACTTTTATTATGAAAATGTTCAAACATACACAAAGGTAGAGAGTATAGTTCTATGAACCTTTATATAGTTAATTCAATAATATTAATTTTGTCACTTTGTTCCTTCTACTCCCTGCTTTCTGTCCTTTTTTGTTGGCCAAAATATCTAAAAGTAAGTATGTCACTTCACTCCATACTTCAACGTGTATCTCTAGGGAATAAGGCCCTTTGCTTACATAACCCCAAAGCCATTTATTTTACATCTAACAAAATCAGTACTGATTCCTTGGCATTGTAAATACCCAATCTATAATAATTAAAAGGCTCCAACTGGGGTCCCTAGGTGGCTTAGTCGTTGAGCATCTGCCTTCAGCTCAGGTCATGATCCCAGGGTCCTGGGATCGAGCCCCGCATTGAGCCCTGCATTGAGCCCCACATCGAGCCCAGCATTGAGCCCCGAAACTGAGCCCCGCATCGGGCTCCCTGCTCCGCCGGAAGCCTACTTCTCCCTCTCCCACTCCCCCTGCTTGTGTTCCTTCTCTCACTCTGTCTCTGTCAAATAAATAAAATCTTAAAAAAATAAATAAATAAAAGGCTCCAACTGTCTAAAATTGTCTTTTTACAATTGGGTTGTCCAAATCAAGAACCAAACAAGGTCCACGTGCTCCATATAATAGTTGTCCTTTTATTATTATTATTATTATTATTAATTATTATATTCCCCCCCTCCCCCAGCCATTCACTAGCTGAAGAAATTAGGTCAGATTTCCTTGAGAAGTTTCCACATTCTGGATGTGTCTTCTCACCTCCTCGCTGGGTCATTTAAATTGTTCCTCCATCCCTGGTATTTCCTGTTAAATGGAGGTTAGTTCTAGAGGTTTGATTTGAATCACATTCAGTTTTTGTGTGTGTTTGTTCCTTTGTTTGGCAAGAGTCTTTCATGGGTGGTGCTGAGGGCTTCAGATTACATCACATCAGGAGGTACACAGTGGGTGGTTGTGCCCTTTTTAGTGATGGTAAGATTCATCAGTGGGGTCAGGTGGTGACAGCTTGATTCCTCCATTGTAAAGTTCCCCATCAACCATCGTCTTTGGTTTCATCCATTCATGATTCTTGCTTTGATCAATTATTTCATTAAGGGTTGCAAAATGATTTTTCTAATTCCATATTCCTTCCACATTCGCTGGAATTCTTCTGTAAATGAGAAGTTTTCTCCACCACTTAGAGCTATTTGGTTACCCTGAAATATAGTTTATATAGGACAGGCAGCATAAATGCTTAATTCTTTTTTTTTTCCAAAGATTTTTTTAAACTAATCTCTACACACAATGTGGGGCTTGAACCTATAACCCCAAGATCAAGAGTTGCTCACTCCACAGACTGAGCCAGCCAGGTGCCCCAATTCTTTTTAATTGCTTATTTTCAGAATAAGAAGTTGGAAGAAGCATCATTTTTAAAAAGTTTGAGCTTAGAGCTGAGTAGGGATGAATTGCCTGGATCATGGGTGAGGAAAGGAAGGACTCTTCTGGTAGCTGTGTCCAGCCCTTGCAAACACCAGTGCTTGGGGCATGTGTGGGATAGACAGACATTGGAGGACTCACTGTCCTGGACCTCGGACAGCAATGAGATAGGCATGATGTGCAGGTACCTGTAGGACCCAGGGAGAGAGAAAGACAAATATGGAGAGGCAGAAAGAGAGATAGGAAGTGAAAAAAC